TTGAGTCGACTCAAGGTGACTTTTGAGTCGACTCAAGGTGACTTTTGAGTCGACTCAAGGTGACTTTTGAGTCGACTCAAGGTGACTTTTGAGTCGACTCAAGGTGACTTTTGAGTCGACTCAAGGTGACTTTTGAGTCGACTCAAGGTGACTTTTGAGTCGACTCAAGGTGACTTTTGAGTCGACTCAAGGTGACTTTTGAGTCGACTCAAGGTGACTTTTGAGTCGACTCAAGGTGACTTTTGAGTCGACTCAAGGTGACTTTTGAGTCGACTCAAGGTGACTTTTGAGTCGACTCAAGGTGACTTTTGAGTCGACTCAAGGTGACTTTTGAGTCGACTCAAGGTGACTTTTGAGTCGACTCAAGGTGACTTTTGAGTCGACTCAAGGTGACTTTTGAGTCGACTCAAGGTGACTTTTGAGTCGACTCAAGGTGACTTTTGAGTCGACTCAAGGTGACTTTTGAGTCGACTCAAGGTGACTTTTGAGTCGACTCAAGGTGACTTTTGAGTCGACTCAAGGTGACTTTTGAGTCGACTCAAGGTGACTTTTGAGTCGACTCAAGGTGACTTTTGAGTCGACTCAAGGTGACTTTTGAGTCGACTCAAGGTGACTTTTGAGTCGACTCAAGGTGACTTTTGAGTCGACTCAAAAAGGTGACTTTTGAGTCGACTCAAGGTGACTTTTGAGTCGACTCAAGGTGACTTTTGAGTCGACTCAAGGTGACTTTTGAGTCGACTCAAGGTGACTTTTGAGTCGACTCAAGGTGACTTTTGAGTCGACTCAAGGTGACTTTTGAGTCGACTCAAGGTGACTTTTGAGTCGACTCAAGGTGACTTTTGAGTCGACTCAAGGTGACTTTTGAGTCGACTCAAGGTGACTTTTGAGTCGACTCAAGGTGACTTTTGAGTCGACTCAAGGTGACTTTTGAGTCGACTCAAAAAGGTGACTTTTGAGTCGACTCAAGGTGACTTTTGAGTCGACTCAAGGTGACTTTTGAGTCGACTCAAGGTGACTTTTGAGTCGACTCAAGGTGACTTTTGAGTCGACTCAAGGTGACTTTTGAGTCGACTCAAGGTGACTTTTGAGTCGACTCAAGGTGACTTTTGAGTCGACTCAAGGTGACTTTTGAGTCGACTCAAAAAGGTGACTTTTGAGTCGACTCAAGGTGACTTTTGAGTCGACTCAAGGTGACTTTTGAGTCGACTCAAGGTGACTTTTGAGTCGACTCAAGGTGACTTTTGAGTCGACTCAAGGTGACTTTTGAGTCGACTCAAGGTGACTTTTGAGTCGACTCAAGGTGACTTTTGAGTCGACTCAAGGTGACTTTTGAGTCGACTCAAGGTGACTTTTGAGTCGACTCAAGGTGACTTTTGAGTCGACTCAAGGTGACTTTTGAGTCGACTCAAGGTGACTTTTGAGTCGACTCAAGGTGACTTTTGAGTCGACTCAAGGTGACTTTTGAGTCGACTCAAAAAGGTGACTTTTGAGTCGACTCAAGGTGACTTTTGAGTCGACTCAAGGTGACTTTTGAGTCGACTCAAGGTGACTTTTGAGTCGACTCAAGGTGACTTTTGAGTCGACTCAAGGTGACTTTTGAGTCGACTCAAGGTGACTTTTGAGTCGACTCAAGGTGACTTTTGAGTCGACTCAAGGTGACTTTTGAGTCGACTCAAGGTGACTTTTGAGTCGACTCAAGGTGACTTTTGAGTCGACTCAAGGTGACTTTTGAGTCGACTCAAGGTGACTTTTGAGTCGACTCAAAAAGGTGACTTTTGAGTCGACTCAAGGTGACTTTTGAGTCGACTCAAGGTGACTTTTGAGTCGACTCAAGGTGACTTTTGAGTCGACTCAAGGTGACTTTTGAGTCGACTCAAGGTGACTTTTGAGTCGACTCAAGGTGACTTTTGAGTCGACTCAAGGTGACTTTTGAGTCGACTCAAGGTGACTTTTGAGTCGACTCAAGGTGACTTTTGAGTCGACTCAAGGTGACTTTTGAGTCGACTCAAGGTGACTTTTGAGTCGACTCAAGGTGACTTTTGAGTCGACTCAAGGTGACTTTTGAGTCGACTCAAGGTGACTTTTGAGTCGACTCAAGGTGACTTTTGAGTCGACTCAAGGTGACTTTTGAGTCGACTCAAGGTGACTTTTGAGTCGACTCAAGGTGACTTTTGAGTCGACTCAAGGTGACTTTTGAGTCGACTCAAGGTGACTTTTGAGTCGACTCAAGGTGACTTTTGAGTCGACTCAAGGTGACTTTTGAGTCGACTCAAGGTGACTTTTGAGTCGACTCAAGGTGACTTTTGAGTCGACTCAAGGTGACTTTTGAGTCGACTCAAGGTGACTTTTGAGTCGACTCAAGGTGACTTTTGAGTCGACTCAAGGTGACTTTTGAGTCGACTCAAGGTGACTTTTGAGTCGACTCAAGGTGACTTTTGAGTCGACTCAAGGTGACTTTTGAGTCGACTCAAGGTGACTTTTGAGTCGACTCAAGGTGACTTTTGAGTCGACTCAAGGTGACTTTTGAGTCGACTCAAGGTGACTTTTGAGTCGACTCAAGGTGACTTTTGAGTCGACTCAAGGTGACTTTTGAGTCGACTCAAGGTGACTTTTGAGTCGACTCAAGGTGACTTTTGAGTCGACTCAAGGTGACTTTTGAGTCGACTCAAGGTGACTTTTGAGTCGACTCAAGGTGACTTTTGAGTCGACTCAAGGTGACTTTTGAGTCGACTCAAGGTGACTTTTGAGTCGACTCAAGGTGACTTTTGAGTCGACTCAAGGTGACTTTTGAGTCGACTCAAGGTGACTTTTGAGTCGACTCAAGGTGACTTTTGAGTCGACTCAAGGTGACTTTTGAGTCGACTCAAGGTGACTTTTGAGTCGACTCAAGGTGACTTTTGAGTCGACTCAAGGTGACTTTTGAGTCGACTCAAGGTGACTTTTGAGTCGACTCAAGGTGACTTTTGAGTCGACTCAAGGTGACTTTTGAGTCGACTCAAGGTGACTTTTGAGTCGACTCAAGGTGACTTTTGAGTCGACTCAAGGTGACTTTTGAGTCGACTCAAGGTGACTTTTGAGTCGACTCAAGGTGACTTTTGAGTCGACTCAAGGTGACTTTTGAGTCGACTCAAGGTGACTTTTGAGTCGACTCAAGGTGACTTTTGAGTCGACTCAAGGTGACTTTTGAGTCGACTCAAGGTGACTTTTGAGTCGACTCAAGGTGACTTTTGAGTCGACTCAAGGTGACTTTTGAGTCGACTCAAGGTGACTTTTGAGTCGACTCAAGGTGACTTTTGAGTCGACTCAAGGTGACTTTTGAGTCGACTCAAGGTGACTTTTGAGTCGACTCAAGGTGACTTTTGAGTCGACTCAAGGTGACTTTTGAGTCGACTCAAGGTGACTTTTGAGTCGACTCAAGGTGACTTTTGAGTCGACTCAAGGTGACTTTTGAGTCGACTCAAGGTGACTTTTGAGTCGACTCAAGGTGACTTTTGAGTCGACTCAAGGTGACTTTTGAGTCGACTCAAGGTGACTTTTGAGTCGACTCAAGGTGACTTTTGAGTCGACTCAAGGTGACTTTTGAGTCGACTCAAGGTGACTTTTGAGTCGACTCAAGGTGACTTTTGAGTCGACTCAAGGTGACTTTTGAGTCGACTCAAGGTGACTTTTGAGTCGACTCAAGGTGACTTTTGAGTCGACTCAAGGTGACTTTTGAGTCGACTCAAGGTGACTTTTGAGTCGACTCAAGGTGACTTTTGAGTCGACTCAAGGTGACTTTTGAGTCGACTCAAGGTGACTTTTGAGTCGACTCAAGGTGACTTTTGAGTCGACTCAAGGTGACTTTTGAGTCGACTCAAGGTGACTTTTGAGTCGACTCAAGGTGACTTTTGAGTCGACTCAAGGTGACTTTTGAGTCGACTCAAGGTGACTTTTGAGTCGACTCAAGGTGACTTTTGAGTCGACTCAAAAAGGTGACTTTTGAGTCGACTCAAGGTGACTTTTGAGTCGACTCAAGGTGACTTTTGAGTCGACTCAAGGTGACTTTTGAGTCGACTCAAGGTGACTTTTGAGTCGACTCAAGGTGACTTTTGAGTCGACTCAAGGTGACTTTTGAGTCGACTCAAGGTGACTTTTGAGTCGACTCAAGGTGACTTTTGAGTCGACTCAAGGTGACTTTTGAGTCGACTCAAGGTGACTTTTGAGTCGACTCAAGGTGACTTTTGAGTCGACTCAAGGTGACTTTTGAGTCGACTCAAGGTGACTTTTGAGTCGACTCAAGGTGACTTTTGAGTCGACTCAAGGTGACTTTTGAGTCGACTCAAAAGTCACCTCTTTTGAGTCGACTCAAGAGTGGAGGGCTAGATTGCGTGGATCATACTTTTATCCTCCACGCAAGCGCCCAGCATCATTGCTGTCTCGTGCACATATATGGGTTGAGTTTTGAGTCGACTCAAAACTCCACTTATATCCTTCAGCCAAGCGCCCAGCATCATTGCTGTCTCGTGCACGTCCATGGGATCGATGTTAAGAGAGAAGGCACTGCAGGGTGGGTGGGTGGGTGGGTGGGGGGATGGGAAGGGAGACGGCGCTGCAGGGTGGGTGGGTGAGGGGAGGGGAGAAAGAAGGGGGGAACAAATGGCTCGACTCACTGTTTTTGAGTCGACTCAAAAACAGGCTAGACTCACTCATACTTGAATCCTGCAACTGGGGTTCAACTGAAACGAACCCTATCGCCAACTTGTGCACGCCCACGGCTCATGTTATCGCTGTTGGCAGATTGTCAAACGTAGCCCTGGTGAGCTATGGAAGCTGGGAACTGGTTTACGCAGGTTCAGTGCTTAGGGTTTTGGGTTTTGCGTAGGGAGTGCAGCCAGGGGTGGCGGTAGTGGTGGAAGAAGGTGACTGGGATGCAGCCGTAGGCACGGAGGACAATGGCAATCAGCCGAGCAAGGAGGCAGCAAGGTCATACCTGAAGGGCAGGGAGACTGCTTTTAACACACCTAAAGGGCAGCGAGTGCAGCCAAGGGTGGCGGTAGTGGTGGAAGAAGGTGACTGGGATGCACCCCTTGACGACGGCTTGAGCCATGCACACACACCATCTCTGGAATAAGCCATACCTCATCTGAGAAGCATGGGGAGTGAGGTGATTTTGACTCACCTGAACGGCAGCGAGTGCAGCCAGGGGTGGCGGTAGTGGTGGAAGAAGGTGACTGGGATGCACCCCTTGACGACGGCTTGAGCCATGCACACACACCATCTCTGCAATAAGCCATACCTCATCTGAGAAGCATGGGGAGTGAGGTGATTTTGACTCACCTGAACGGCAGCGAGTGCAGCCAGGGGTGGCGGTAGTGGTGGAAGAAGGTGACTGGGATGCATCCGTTGACCACAGCTTGAGCCATGCACACCATCTCGTGCCAGTGAGAGGCGTCGGGGAGGCACACGCAGAACACTGCTCCCTGCATTGTTGTTGCTGCTGCATGTGGGGGCAGCTGGGTATGTGGGGCGGAGCAGGGATGGGCGCATAGAGGAGAGCGGAGTAGCCAATGGGAGGCGTCAGGCAGGCACACACAGAACACTGCTCCCTGCATTTTTTCCGCAGCTGCGTGTGGGGGCAGCTGGGAGGGTGCAGTGGGGAAGGATAGGCGCATATGGGGCCAGTGGGAGGCATCATGGAGGCAAATGCAGAGCACTGCTCTCTGCATCGCTTACGCAGCTGCATGTGGGGGTAGCTGGGAGAGGATGGTGGGGATGGTAAAGGTGGCATGAGATTGCTCCTGAGGCGCCTCAAAGGCGAATAAAATGTTTTGAGGCGCCCCAAAAGTTCGAATAAAAAGTTTTGAGGCGCCTCAAAAGGCAGACGAGAGAGGATGGTGGGGATGGTTTAATCGGCACGAGATTGGCACAAGAAATGTGCACGAAATGAAAGGATACAATAGACACTCTCACCTCCACCAAAGCAACTAACCTCAAAGGCATTTTTTGACTTTTGAGGCGCCTCAGAGTCAGAAGTCACCTCCACCAGAGCGGCTAACCGTATAGGCATTTTTTGAGACATCTCAAAACCCAGGGCTGCTTACCAGAATAGGTGCTCTCACCTGAAGCAGCGCCCACCCCTTGGGGTTGCTCGTCCCCATCAACTCCATAAACGCCCCTCGCACCTCCTCCCGGTCAAAACCATAGACGGTTGCAAGGATAAAGTAGGGCCCTACCTGAAGCAGCGCCCACCCCTTGGGGTTGCTCGTCCCCATCATCTCCATGAACGCCCCTCGCACCGCCTCCCGGTCAAAACCACCCCCTGCTGTTCCTGCACCCATTCCCTCATCAGGTCCAACCCCCTCATCCCTTCGCCGCACATCTTCCCTCCAGCCTTCACCGTGTCCTGATTCCCCTGCCCCCGCTGTCTCCCCTGCCCCCGCTGTCTCCCCTGCCCCCGCTGTCTCCCCTGCCCCCGCTGTTTCCCCTGCTTCCCCTGCCCCTCCTGCTCCCCCTGCTCCCTCTGCTCCCCCTGCTTTTCCTGCTCCCCCTTCTGCCCCTCCTTCCGCTGCTTTTCCTGCTCCCACTGCTTTTCCTGCTCCCCCTGCTGCCCCTCCTTCCGCTGCTGCTCGTGCCGCCCCATCTGAAGCTGCCACATCATCGCCTTCCCCCTCTTTCCACAGGCCGTGGCGATCCCAATAACCACCACCACTGCCCTTGCTATCACCATCGTCACTTGATCTTTGAGTCGATTTTTTTGTCAATTCTTGAGTCGACTCAACTACCGCTTCCCCTTCTTTCCAGAGACCGTCACGATCCCAGTCACCACCACTGCCATGGCCCTCGTCACCTGATTGCCTAGCCACGCCCTTGCCTAATAGACGCCTGGTTGAGCCCTCATTCCCTTTAACGTCCGTGGCTGTGTGCTTGGCACGCGCAAGCGAGACAAGGGCCTCATTGGGGATATCCTTGGCAGGTGGTGGAGAAGCAGGAGGGGCGAGGAGGGATGGAGAGTGGTGAGGAGGGCCGAGGAGGACGAGCACGGAGAGAGAGCGGTTGCGCGCATCAGGGGGAATGGGCAGTGTGAGCGGGAGGAGAGGTGGGATGACCACGTCGTTACCGGGTGAAGCGCAGTGCATTCCCTGTGCTGGCGGGCAAGTGAAGAGGGAGATGGGAGTATAAGAGGGAAGAATGGTGCCAGCAGGAGGAGAGGCGACATGATCACATCGTTGCCATGCGAGGCTCAGTGCATTCCCTGTGCTGGCGTTGCCGTGCTGTACTCACTCACCTCATCCCAGTCCGTACCATGAATCCACTCACCTCATCCCAGTTCGTACCATGACCATCCACTCACCTCATCCCAGTTCGTACCATGACCATCCACTCACCTCGTCAATCGCCAAAGCTACAGGCTGCTTCGTCCCACTCAACCTCCCAAAACGCCCCTCCCCTTCCCCTGACCCGACACCCACACTATCTCCATTCCATCCTTTTTTTTCTCTCCCCCCTCCTCCTCCCCCAGTCTCTGCCACCTCCCCACCACCCCCCCTTCTCCTCTCCTTCCTGCCCATCTGCTGCAACTGCAATTTCTGCTGCCTTATCCCCGCACGCCCCTGCTGCTTCCCGTCTCCTAACCCGACCCCCTCCTGCTGCCCCTGCTGCCGCTTCTTCCCCGCCAAAGCAGCTTTCAGGCGGCCAGCAGCAGTTGTCTCTTTGCTGCTGGCCGCGGCTCTCCTTCTGGCAGCTGCTGCGGCGGCAGCAGCGGGGGTGAGGTGGAGGACGGAGCGGAAGAGCAGGTCGGGATAGGAGGAGGGCTGTAGGGTGAATAGAGATCCGAGGAGAGAGGGGTTGACGAAAGGGAGGATGCTGAAAGGGGCGTGGGGTGGGGAGGAAAGCAGGGGAGCAGGGAGGAAAGGAGGGAAGCAAGGGCCCAAGGGGGTGCTGTGAGCGGAAGAGCAGGTCTGGGTAGGAGGAGGGCTGGAGGGTGAATAGAGATCCTAGGAGAGGGGTTTACAAAGGGTAGAATGCTGGAAGGGGAGGGAGACAGGGAGGGGAGGGAGGGAGGGAGGGAAGAGGGCGGCAGCGGGGGTGAGGTGCAGGACGGAACGGAAGAGCAGGTCGGGATAGGAGGAGGGCTGTAGGGTGAATAGAGATCCGAGGAGAGAGGGGTTGACGAAGGGGAGGATGCTGAAAGGGGCGTGGGGTGGGGAGGAAAGGGGGGAAGGGTGAAAGAGAAGGGAAGAAAAGGGGTTGATGTGAGAGGAAGAGCAGGTCGGGATAGGAGGAGGGCTGGAGGTTGAAGAGAGAGCCGAGGAGAGCGGGGCTCACAAGGCGGACGATGCTGGGAGGGAGAGTGGGCCAGGGAGAAAACAAGAGGGTGTGACAGGGAAAATAGGAGGGAGATGAGAAACGAAGAGCAGGTTGGGGTGGGAGGAGGGCTGGAGGGGGGCTGGAGGTTGAAGAGTGAGCCGAGTAGAGCGGGGCTCACAAGGCGGACGATGCTGAAAAAGGGGTCCGGGGCGAAGGGAGAGAGCGGGAAAAAGGGGAACGTGCTTAGAGATACGGTTTAGGACTGATAGACAGCCCACGATTTGTGATTAACCCAGTTACCCTCCAGAACTGATAGACAATTACCAAGTAACCCTCTACTTCGGCCACAGCACTTGCCTGCATCGGCCGAACGGGTGTGACGCGATGATGATGTGATCTCTGCACCCACCGCCACCGTCAGCCATGAAGATGGGCGAGCAGCGGTTAGCAAGATACTTTTAGCAAAAGAAAGACAGTGATACTCTCTGTGTGTTGTACCCTGCTTAAGTGCCAAGAACTCTGGTAATCCGAACTCTCAAGTCCACTGTAGAGATTAAAACGCAAACCTGAAAGCGGCACCCACCGCGACCTCTTATGCACCTGAAAGTCACCTCGAGATTTGATTGGCAATGACCACGTAACATCCGAGTTTACCCACAACACTTACCCACATCTGCCAAACGGGGAGTGATGCGATTATGAAGTGATCGCTGCCCCCACTGCGAAGTTTGAAGCGCCTCAAAGGCTGACGGTTACCAGGTAACCCCACGGTCAACCCGCAACGCGACACTTACCCACATCGGCCGTACGGATGTGATGCAATGATAAAGTGATCGCTGCCCCCACTGCGGCGCCAGTAGGGGTAATGTGACTGTAACGAAGCGGCAAAGGGGCATATGCACATTAAATAACGAGAAAGGTGAAGTGCACAAACACAGCCGCAAAAGGTTTATGAAAGAAGGCACATCAAGAAAGCACCAAGTGCATGGCATGCAGGTAGTTGACAGTGAGCAAGAATGTGAAATCGCACACACACAATCACGCAACAAACAGAGCAGGCCAAACAAGCACTGGCGTATTTCAACTCCCACCCTCTCATCTGCACATACAAGAACGTCCCCCCCCCTTACGCACATAGAATACCCCCATACAATAACGCCCCCCCCCCCCCCCCCCCCCTCCCCCTCATCTGCACATACAATAGCGCCTCCCCCCACCCTCACCTGCACATACAATAACGCCTCCCCCACATAACGCCCAGTATCAGCCAGCGCCTCCCAATGCTCCAGCGACAGCTCAAGCCCGTTCCCCCCTGCTCCCCCTCCCCCTGCTGCCGCAGCAGCAAGGGCGAGGGAGGGGGCTTGCAGGGAGGGCAGGCGCAGGGCTAGGTGCAGCATGGGCAGCACGGGGAGGAAGAAGAGCGAGGCGGCTTCAGGGTCCACTGTTCGATACACGTTTGAACGCTGCAGGGCCCTGGATGGGGTCGGGGAGGAGAGGAGGACGAAGGGGGTGCAGCATGGGCAGCATGGGGAGGAAGAAGAGGGACGCGGCCTCATGGTCCACTGTGCGATACACGTTTGAACGCTGCAGGGCCCTGTATGGGGTCGGGGAGGGGAGGAGGACGAAGGGGGTGCAGCATGGGCAGCACGGGGAGGAAGAAGAGGGACGCGGCCTCAGGGTCCACTGTGCGATACACATTGGAACGCTGCAGGGCTCTGGATGGGGTCGGGGAGGGGAGGAGGACGAAGGGGGTGCAGCATGGGCAGCACGGGGAGGAAGAAGAGGGACGCGGCCTCAGGGTCCACTGTGCGATACACATTGGAACGCTGCAGGGCTCTGGATGGGGTCGGGGAGGGGAGGAGGACGAAGGGGGTGCAGCATGGGCAGCACGGGGAGGAAGAAGAGAGAAACGGCCTTGGGGTCCACTGTTCGGTACACGTTTGAGCGCTGCAGGGTTCTGGAGGGGGGGAGGAGGGGGAGGGGGAGAGAAGGATGAGGAGGATGGATGCAGCATGGGAAGGAGGAAGAGCGAGACAGCTTCAGGGTCCATTGTGCGATGCATGTTGGAGCGCTGCAGGGCTCTGGGAGAAGGGAGGGGAGGAGCGGTGGAGTTGAGGAGAGGAGGCAAGAGGAATGGGAGGGGCGAGGGTGATCTGAATAGGGAGCCACGAGAAGTGGCACGAATAGGGGGCTGTGTCCTTGGCATGAAACGAAAACTGAGGCACTGACCTGAAGAGTGGGTTGTCCAGATGGAAGTCGGAGAGGTGGTGCGAGGTGAGGCGGTCAAAAAGGTCAATGTTGAGCTGTGTGGACGTTATTTTATGAATATGTAAAAACCAGAGAGGTGGTGCGAGGTGAGGTGGTCAGAAAGGTCAACGTTGAAGCGTCTAGACGTCTAAGCAGGCAGGTTGTAGACGTGAATCAGGAAGGGCTTTAACCGACCTGAAGAGGAGCTCTTACCTAAACAGGAGGTTGTCTAGATGGAAGTCGGAGAGGTGGTGCGAGGTGAGGCGGTCAGATAGGTCAACGTTGAATCGTCTGGGAAGCTCGTAAACGTAGATGAAATGCGCCTGCACGCTCTTGGGCTCCGCCCACCAGCAATTGGCCGCTGGGGGAAGGGGAGTGTGAGGAATAACGGCAGGAGGGGATGAGAATGAGGAACAGCAGTGTGTTGAAGCGTCTGGGAAGCTCGTAAACGTAGATGAAATGCGCCTGCACGCTCTTGGGCTCCGCCCACCAGCAATTTGCCACTGAGGAGACAAGGGGAGTGCGAGGAATAATGGCCGGGGACCGGGGTGGAGATGGGTGAGGAAGAAAAATGCGTTGAACCGTCTGGGCCGCTCGTAGAGGCAGATGAAGAGTGACTGCATGCTCTTAAGTTCAGGCGAGTGAATTAGACTCGGGCAATGAACAATGTATGGAGCGGAGGGGATTGAGTGGGGAGGGACCATGAAGAGTAGGTCGGGAAGTAAAGTACTGCTAAGTGGACCGGGGGATGAATGTGGAGCGGCGGATGAGGATACTATAGGTCAGCAATAACCTCCAGGTGACAAGGCGCCATACCAGAGACCAGCGGTAGGCGATCGCATCCCCATGAACTGTCCCACACGAACAGGTGAATTGCGTAAAGCAGAAGAACCGTCGCAAAACCTGCGATGACTAGATTTCGCCACGACAGCCATCGTATTCTCCGGATCAGATTTCGCGCGAATCTCAACACGCGAACGCTTGTGGTAACCCGCTCGTTGCTTTGCGACGCAGGAGGTTCCGCGAGATCGAATTGCGAAAGTGGAAGCCTCCGCTGACGCAGCCTTGATCGTAGAAACTCCATGCCACCATCCTCTACTGCATCGATTCAAAAGATTTTACATAGCGAACGCGGACATCACTGCTCCATTTGACAAGCATGCCCTTCTTCGGACCAGATGGCAGCATGGGGATTGGATTTAGTGGTCTGCGAGGTTGGTGGGGAGAGATTCTAGTTCGCATGCTTTCGTCGTGTCAGAACTCCACCCAACCATTCTAGGTGTGTCTGACTTCGGTTTCGGCGAAAGTCGACGAAGCTCGACGAAACTCGAAGTCGCACACGCCGTCAAAAGAAAACGTTGGGCAACACAAAAGATTGCGTTGAACCTAGTTCAACGCATATTGGATCAACAGCCCAACCTCGAAAACTGTTTAAGCTCTCCACCGTTGTGAACCGTGTCAGACAAGACGGAACTGCTCTTTGGAGGCAAAAGGAACACGTTGGACTGGACGGACCAATCCCTGGGGTGGTGTTTTGCGGCAAACGCGCGGGAAGCAAAAGTGGTTCCCTGTCAGGTCGCTCATGCGACAGGCATCGCAAGTGCGAAAATTTAATCACCCGTCGCGAATGATTTCGCCCAAATCAGAGCATCTGAAATTCATGGTTCGAGCAACTAGAGATCCATTCTCTAGGCTTCTTGAGATCCACATTTTCCACTCACCCCCCAGCAACCCAGCTCAACAAGCCCGTCTTGGGCTCATTCTTCCTCCGTTTCTTGAATTCTCCATTTTCACCATTTTCCTTCATTTTCTGCATGTTCCTGGTTTGAGTGAGCTTCCAATTTTCCCGTTTCTGGAGGAGGCCCACGATCTCTGAGCTGAGTCGTCTCTGGTTAGGGACGCCTTTACCGTTCGCGCACACTGCGTCTTTACCGGGTCACTTTTTTTAAACGGTTTCCATTCCGGCAAAAAAAAAAAAAAAAAAAAAAACAATATTTTAGCGCATCTCGGCTACTCCGAGTTTTGTAGTCACAGTTTGAGGGTGTGATTCTCTTCTTCTGAGAATATTCCGAAGCCGCCATAACTCTGGCAGAATCTGTGTGTAATAATCCCTCGTTCGCTGATCAAAATTCGAAGAAATTCGTTATTAGGCTATCGCACCGGATGGCCTTACGACAATGGCATAGCTGTAGCAGCTGACTGCGCGTCGGAAGCTGACTGCAGCTGCTCAGCGCAGCAATCGCGTGTACTTATTTCATCGTCAGAACCTTAACTTGATCATTTTCGCGTGAATGCGTCCGGGAGGATATGAGGAGCCCTGATCTGGTGAACTGACTTGACCGTCCACCGTCTCACTTGACCGTTTACCATCTCACGATCCTACCACCTCACAACCACCTCACATGACCGCTCACCATCTCACTTGACGGCCGACCTTTCGTACACAATTCCTCAGCCTTCAAAAGAACGTCGCGATCCATCGCGCGCATGTCGGCCGTCCATCGCCACCAGTGAATTCTCACCTCATTGCCTGTGCGCCACCATGCTCCTCGTCTCGTGGCTCAACTCGCTGCGGCGATGCTTCAGCTTGCCGTTCCTCATCCTCGTCTTCAGCATCTACTGGGATTTTGACGGGGATTTACGGTTTTTTACGGCTTTCAGCGAGATTTTGTGGGTTTTATGGGTTATGAGGCATCTCTTAAGCGGCTTCTTCTCACTTACCATTTCACCGATTTTCACCCCTTCTCCACTCATTCGCATCCCCTCTCCTAGACGGCCATTAGCGTTCTGGTGCAGGTGCATCTTAAGTCGGTCCTTCTTTTGCTCGTGCCTCTTTCCCCCCTTTCACACCTCCACCGTAATTCACCGCTCCCCCACTTTCTCATACCTCTCAGGGCTTCCGCGCGTTTCCCTGGAATGAAAGCGGCTTCTTGGTGAAGGACCATCTGAAGCAGGACCTGCACGTGCCCGTGCCTGTTCCCCTCCCTTCCAACTTTCTTCATCCCTCCTCACCTTTCTTCATGACCTCCACTGCCTACGTGCCGTGGAGCGTGAAGCCATTATATGGGTGAGTGTAGGTAGGGCCCACATGAGTGAGTGTGGATGTGAAGCTCTTGAACACTCCTGACTGAACTCAGCAGCGCAGCTCATGACCTCCATTGCCTGCATGCCGTGGAGCGTGAAGCGGTTGTACAGGTGAGTGTTGGCCCCTCATGGGTGAGTGTAAGCGCTCTGTATCGACCCAAGTGCAGCTCATGACCTCATGAGCGTTGAAGCCCTTCACAAGTGAGTGTGCACATCACCATGAGATGGATTTCAAGGTGCCTTATGTATGTACACACACACACACACACACACACACACACACACACACACACACACACACACACACACACACACACACACACACACACATATGTGTATATATGTACCTTCGATTATACATCCATATATGTGAGTGTGAGCGCAAAACAGTTTTGTGGCTGGCTGCTCTCATTTCATCCTCCTCACTTGACCCTCCCTTTCTCCTAACTCAATGCCTCTCATCTCTTGAACTCTGCCACCCCTCACGCCCTTCACTCCCCCACTTCTTGTGCCTGCCCCCTCTGTTCACCCCTGCTAAGCAGGACCTTATCTGACTGTGTGCCTAAAAGGGGCACCTCGAGGTTGCTAGATAGGCTCTTCGCAATATTAGTGCTAGGCTTCATCAATTGCTCAGTAATTGTATTGTAACCAGTTTCTCGTCATTGAATTCCACGCACTCTGTCCACTTACAACCCATCAAGAGGTACTGTTTTCAACAAAATACTGCTTACAAAGGTGCAAAGACACAAAAGCATAAGGATTCACAATCTGCCCCGTGCAGTAAGAGCTTCCCCATGCTTAGCAATCACAACTGGCTTGAGCAGCTTCATGAGCCTAATAGCCTCCTTAGCCTCTAACTCGCCCTTACCATTCCTCTCCTGCAGCTCCTTCACACGGGTTTTCAACCCTGGAACCTTCCTTGCCGCCTTCTCCCTTTCCACCATCGCAACTTGCAACTCTTGCCTTCTCTCTAAAACCAACGCCTCAGCTCTCTTCACCTTCCTGCTCATTGCTCCTGCCACTCTCTCTGCCTGAGCCTTCACGAGTTCAGCCTCCTCCCGCTGCATCCTTGCTCTCAAAGTCCGAGCCGCAGACTCAACACTCATGGCGAGGCGCAGATCTTCATTTGCTTCATGCAGTATCCTCGTCTGTTTGTCGGCCATCTCCCGTGCGTCTGCCAGCTCAGCTTCCGCCTTTGCCAGGTCCTTCTCGCCTTCCTTCACCTGGAAAACCGCAAACTCCGCATCGCCCTCCGCATTATCCAGCTCTTCACGCGTCCTCTTCAGCTTCTGGAAGCCCTCTGACGTCCGAGCCTCAGCTATGGAAGATTTCCAAGCCTGGACTTCGGCTCGGAGGCTCTCCAGCAATCCCCGAGCCACCACCTCCTCTGCGTCTGCTGCTGCAATCTTGTCCACAGCTTCGGTCGACTTGTGCAAGCCTAGACTCTTCTGCTGCGAATTCTTGTCTCGAAAACCGTGCTCAACATCCATCACTTCGCTGTGAGGCGCTTCGATTTCCGTGAGATAAGGGTCGTCTTTGTCACTCCAGAATGGCACCGCAGGAATCTTTTCTGGACTGGGAAAAGGTGCGTCCGATGGAGGTCCGTTGGATGAAGGCCCGTTGCTTGAAGAGCCAGTGAGCAGAGGTGACATTTCCGACGCGCCATAATTGGCATGTCCTTTTTTATTGCTCTTGAAATCATTCTCTGCGTCATCTGCGACGAAAACCAATGAAACTGGCGGCGCGCCACGGGTTTCATCTCGGCTTGTTGAGGATGGCTTTTGGACGATTCCGAGGATGGCACGCTCAGATTCAGGAAAGGACTTCATCCCACGTTTGAATACTGCAAGATAATCTCGCAACGTCGCGTTTATAATCTTCTCCGCTTCCATGGCCTGCGGAAGCCGCTGCTCCCATGCTTTAAGTATCTCGTCGCGACACTTCACCGTGATGCTGTACGACGCCTCTTTGTCGCGCAGTCGCAAAACCTTTCGTGCGAGTCTCGCAGCAAGCCGCTCTGCGACGAGTTTCGCCTCGCCCGCTGTTACCAGCGACAGCCGGACTTCCTCCGAGTCTCGCTCGTACATCCGCTTCGCGGTTTTATCGACTATCGCGGAAAGCTCGTCGACGACTTTTCGTTGCTCCTTCAGTCGCGCTGATGTCACCTTGACCTTCTCCCGCGCGCGCAGCGCCTCCTGGATCTTCCCGTTGGCATCGGCGACGCTATCTTTGAGCGACCGGAATTCGCGGAGAAGCACGAGCGTCTGCTGTGTCGCTTCCACGGCCCGCGCTTTCCGCGCGACCAGCTCAGACAGGAGTCCGGCCTGTACTGTCCTGTCCTCGCCTAAACTTGATAATCCGTCTGCAGCGACGGCGCCGGTAGTACTTTTCATTGCCATCGTGGTTAGGATTTCGTTAGACGCTCCGTTTGAGGTCGAAATCAAAATTTCACGTGTTCGACAGGACGCAGGTGCGAAATGGAAAACAGCGAGGGTAAGAATTAGTACGGTAAGTGGTTGTTTTCTGACGCCCCCGCGAAAATGTTGTCGGTGCGACGCGTCCATCCTTCCAAGAAGTAATACTGGAAGTGAATGCATTGTATCATGTGTCGACATAGCTAGGAAGTAGACCACTAGCTCGAAAGAGTTACTTTCTACGTAACGGGACGGGATCTCTTAGCTTAGTACTGCACGGAGCATTTTGGGAGGTGGTGTCTGTCGAGAAAGAAATTCCCTTCCAGGAGAATTCACTTCGATTTCCCTTCACGAAGCGCACAGCCACTCTCCAGCAATGTGGTACTGTTCTTTGCCACAGTACAGTACATCATTGGCGGCTGGAGTGACACCGAGTAACCCGATCCAACTCCGATCCCTTCCAGTCTTCCTTGTGGTTGGTGGGATGGGAAGGTTCGACTCGGGGAAGGAACAGGGAGTTGCGGGGCATCCCGCGGATGGGAGTGGAGTGGAGGGGAGGGGGAGTGACAGGGAAGTGCTGGAAGAAGATGGGTGGAGTGTGGGAACCATATGGGTGAAAGTTGTAGGTTTTGGGGACAGTGAAACGACATGTTCCATGTTCTGTTAGATTTGCCCGCGACTTTTTGGCATTTTGGGGGAAGTTGTTTTTAGTGTCGTGGGGGAGGGGAAGCCTCTGATGCTAACGAAATCCGTGGCGGGGTTCGCTTTCACGTTATACTTTTTGCGTTCGCCACACACGCGAATGGTCGAAATTTGGTTGGTCATCAGGGCGTGTCCCACGCGTTCGTTTACAGTTCAAGTAGGGCGGTTACCCTAATTTTCGTTTGAAATACGAAACTGTAGTGCTGGGTCCACAATGACGCGCCACCGTGACGCGCTATATGCGTCAGAAGGATCGTATTCCCACGTGCAAATCCGCTGCCATGTTACGTGCGATCACCTCGTACCGCGTCCTGCGGGCGGTCCCCAAGCAGGGATCGCCCAAACACTGTGGTGCGAAAAAAATGGACCATCGCAAAGGGGTCCCGTGTCGGCATTTTGGTTTGTTTGTTTGTGGCTGTGTGAACTCCGTCAGAGTAGGCACAGTAGGCTCGCAACTGGGGCGGGTTACCGCTCGCGGCCCAGGTCAATTGGAGTTATAAGTGGGCGGGGCGGTGAGTCCGCGTGGTGCGATTTCGTTTGGTGCAGAGCTGACGCGCTGCGCGTTTTTTTTGTCAGTGTACACTCTTTTGCTGACTCGATGTTACGTTTAAAAATGTTCCCTTCCAAAAATGAACCCGTGGGACACGCCCTTACAATTTAACAAGATATTGGTAGAGATCAGCCGCGTCACATGGGTTCTTTTTGCCAATAACTCTACCCAACCATTCTAAAACGTTTGAAAACGCAAAAAACTCGTACTAAACCGCGCTAATCTGGATCCGGTTCAGCAGAGATTCGAGTGCCCAACATGGATTGCAGTTCCTGCTCTTTACCGCTGCGGAACGTTTTACACAAGACGAAATCGTTCTATTTGAAGCAAGAAACGCGTTGGACTGCACAGACCAATCCCCAAGGTAGTTTATTGCGGCAAATGCGCGGGAAGCGAAAGACTTCTTCTGTCAGGTCGCTCATGCGACAGCCATCGCGAATGCGAAATTATCAGTTGTCGCGAACTGTTGCAAACAGTGTCCTCCACCGACTGACACGGCCCAATCAGCAATTCTCAATGCGGAGGTTTCGAGATAGAAAAGTTGGTGCCAACCAATCACGGTACGAGCGACGAGAGATACATACCCTAGGCTTTTCGAGATCCACATTCCATCTTCCCTGTTTCGCCTGTCTTATGCCTGTTCCCTACTCAAGAAGTTTGCGACTCTCCATCTCTCCATTTTCCTCGTTTCCCCTCATCTCATCCCTTCACCCGTTTCAAGTGAGCCTTCAATTTTCCAGCTTCTGTAGGAGGCCCACGCTGTTTGAGCAAAGCCGTTTCTGGTTAGACACGTCTTTACCATTCGAGGACACTAATAGGGAGCTTCATTAGTATCTTGCCGACTCACCGTTGAAACCAGCTTTCATGTCGGCAGAAAATATCACTTTTCCAATCACTTCATCCCCGAGATTTATAATCGAATGAGGTCCACTTAAAATCTGGGGACCTTGTAGCCATGTAATTCTCTTTTCCTGACGATATCCCGAACCAGCCATCACCCTGGGCGGGATCTGCATGTCAAATTCGTCGTTCGCTGGTCAGAGTTTGGAAAATAATGCTGTGTTGACTATCGCGCCGGATACTATCGCGCCGGATACTATCGCGCCGGATACTATCGCGCCGGATACTATCAGGCTAGTAGCCTTACGACAATGACACAGCTGTAGCTGCTGAATACGCATCTGAACCTGACTGACTGCATCGTCAGAACCTAACCTGATTATAGATGCGTGAATGATGCTTCGGCCAGATGGAGTTGAGTCTAAGAGGATATGAGGAGCCTTGGCTTGGCATCACACGGTGAACAGACTTGACCGTTGAGCATCTCACTTGCTAGTAGCCCACCAAAACAACTTGGCGATCCATCGCGCACATCTCAGCCGTCCATCTCCACCGGTGAATTCTCACCTCCTTGCCTGTGCGCCACCATGCTCCTCGTCTCGTGGCTCAACTCGTTGCGGCGATGCTTCGGCACGCCGTTCCTCATCCTCGTCTTCAGCATCTACTGGGCACAGGTGATGCACTGCAAAGGCTGCGAGATGGCTGCCGACGGGTTTTGACGATTTGACGGAACTGATGGAATTTGACGGATTATTACGGCTTTTGAGGGATTTTACGGATTACGGAAGTTGACGGGTTTTTACGGATTTTGACGGCTTCTTACTTCTCTCACCATTTCACCGTTTTTCGCCCCTCCTCCACTCATTTGTTTCCATTTTTCCTGGGTGGCCATTAGCATTCTGGTAAAGGTACATCTCAAGCCAAGCTTCTTCTGTTCCTGCCTCTTTCCCTCCCTTCTTCATTCCTCCACCGTACTGCACCCCTCCCCCACTCATCCCATAACCCTCAGGGTTTCCGCGCGTTCCCTTGGACGGGCATCAGCATTCTGGTGAAGGACCATCTGAAGCTGGGCCCAGCAGCAGCGCAGCTCATGACCTCCACTGCCTACATGCCGTGGAGCGTGAAGCCGCTGTATGGGTGAGTGGTGTGCTCCATTTATTGAGTATTTGCTCTCCATATCAACCCAAGCGCATCTCAAACCTCCACTGCCTACATGCCGTGGAGCGTGAAGCCATTATATGGGTGAGTGTTGGACGCCACGTGGGTGAGTGTAGGATGCCACGTGGGTGAGTGTAGGACGCCACGTGGGTGATTGTGGGTGAAAAGCTCTTGAAGACTTCTGATTTAACTGAGCAGCGCAGTTCATGGCCGCCACTGCCTATATGTCGTGGAGCGTGAAGCCCTTGTACGGGTGAGTGTTGTGTGGCGGCCCTGTGTGCTTCTGTTGTGTGAGTGAGCGCTAAACCCCGTCATATGGGTGATTGGTGTGTGGCGGCCATGCGCGTTCAAGCCTTTGAATCTACTCAGCCGCGCAGCTCATGACCTCCACTGCCTACACGCCATGAAGCTGTTGTGTGGGTGAGTGTTAATCCCTGGCATTGGTGACTCTACAATGCCAGCATTAATGATGATAACGTTCTTGCTTCCCCTACATCATTATCGCCAACGCCCTCTCGCTGCTCTTACCACTCTCCCGCTCCCTATGCCTGCCCCTTCTGCTCAACCCCGCTCTGAAGAATCTTGTCTGACTGTGCTTATAAGGGGCGGCCGGCGCATCCCCTACATAATCATCACCAATGCCCTCTCGCTGCTCTCCTGGTTCTCTGTGGCGTTCGTGGCGTGTCTCACTGCCTCCTCGCCCTTCACGCTGTTGCTCTCCTGGCTCACCCCCCCTTTTGAGGCGCCTCAAAAGTCGCCCTTCACGCTCTTGCTCTCCTGGCACGCCCTCCCACTCCCTGTGCCCGCCCCCACATACCCTCTGCAGGATCTTATCTGACTGTGTGCCTACAAGGGGCGGAAGGCGCATCCCCTGCATCATCATCGCCAACGCGCTCTCGTCACTCTGCCACTCCCTGTGCTGGTCCCCTCCAATCACCTCCTCTCTGCAGGATTCTATCTGACTGTGTGCCTATAAGGGGCGGAAGGCGCATCCCCTACATCATCATCGCCAACGCCCTCTCGCTGCTCTCCTGGCTCGCCCTCGCGTTTGTGCCGCGTCTCGCCGCCTCCCCCACGCCCTTCACGCTGCTGCTTGTGCTGCAGAACGTGGGGGCTGCCATGGCTGACGTGGTGATTGACGCCATGGTGGCAGAAGCGGCAAAAGGAGACAAGTGAGTGCTTTCTCTGGAAGATACGAATTCGAATTGGTACAAAAAAGCCCAAACCCTGCTCTAAACCCGAAACTCTAAGCCCTGGAAACGATACTCTCTGTGTGTGACGCTGCCGCCTCCCCCACGCCCTTCACGCTGCTGCTTGTGCTGCAGAACGTGGGGGCTGCCATGGCTGACGTGGTGATTGACGCCATGGTGGCAGAAGCGGCAAAAGGAGACAAGTGAGTGCTTTCTCTGGAAGATACGAATTCGAATTGGTACAAAAAAGCCCAAACCCTGCTCTAAACCCGAAACTCTAAGCCCTGGAAACGATACTCTCTGTGTGTGACGCTGCCGCCTCCCCCACGCCCTTCACGCTGCTGCTTGTGCTGCAGAACGTGGGGGCTGCCATGGCTGACGTGGTGATTGACGCCATGGTGGCAGAAGCGGCAAAAGGAGACAAGTGAGTGCTTTCTCTGGAAGATACGAATTCGAATTGGTACAAAAAAGCCCAAACCCTGCTCTAAACCCGAAACTCTAAGCCCTGGAAACGATACTCTCTGTGTGTGACGCTGCCGCCTCCCCCACGCCCTTCACGCTGCTGCTTGTGCTGCAGAACGTGGGGGCTGCCATGGCTGACGTGGTGATTGACGCCATGGTGGCAGAAGCGGCAAAAGGAGACAAGTGAGTGCTTTCTCTGGAAGATACGAATTCGAATTGGTACAAAAAAGCCCAAACCCTGCTCTAAACCCGAAACTCTAAGCCCTGGAAACGATACTCTCTGTGTGTGACGCTGCCGCCTCCCCCACGCCCTTCACGCTGCTGCTTGTGCTGCAGAACGTGGGGGCTGCCATGGCTGACGTGGTGATTGACGCCATGGTGGCAGAAGCGGCAAAAGGAGACAAGTGAGTGCTTTCTCTGGAAGATACGAATTCGAATTGGTACAAAAAAGCCCAAACCCTGCTCTAAACCCGAAACTCTAAGCCCTGGAAACGATACTCTCTGTGTGTGACGCTGCCGCCTCCCCCACGCCCTTCACGCTGCTGCTTGTGCTGCAGAACGTGGGGGCTGCCATGGCTGACGTGGTGATTGACGCCATGGTGGCAGAAGCGGCAAAAGGAGACAAGTGAGTGCTTTCTCTGGAAGATACGAATTCGAATTGGTACAAAAAAGCCCAAACCCTGCTCTAAACCCGAAACTCTAAGCCCTGGAAACGATACTCTCTGTGTGTGACGCTGCCGCCTCCCCCACGCCCTTCACGCTGCTGCTTGTGCTGCAGAACGTGGGGGCTGCCATGGCTGACGTGGTGATTGACGCCATGGTGGCAGAAGCGGCAAAAGGAGACAAGTGAGTGCTTTCTCTGGAAGATACGAATTCGAATTGGTACAAAAAAGCCCAAACCCTGCTCTAAACCCGAAACTCTAAGCCCTGGAAACGATACTCTCTGTGTGTGACGCTGCCGCCTCCCCCACGCCCTTCACGCTGCTGCTTGTGCTGCAGAACGTGGGGGCTGCCATGGCTGACGTGGTGATTGACGCCATGGTGGCAGAAGCGGCAAAAGGAGACAAGTGAGTGCTTTCTCTGGAAGATACGAATTCGAATTGGTACAAAAAAGCCCAAACCCTGCTCTAAACCCGAAACTCTAAGCCCTGGAAACGATACTCTCTGTGTGTGACGCTGCCGCCTCCCCCACGCCCTTCACGCTGCTGCTTGTGCTGCAGAACGTGGGGGCTGCCATGGCTGACGTGGTGATTGACGCCATGGTGGCAGAAGCGGCAAAAGGAGACAAGTGAGTGCTTTCTCTGGAAGATACGAATTCGAATTGGTACAAAAAAGCCCAAACCCTGCTCTAAACCCGAAACTCTAAGCCCTGGAAACGATACTCTCTGTGTGTGACGCTGCCGCCTCCCCCACGCCCTTCACGCTGCTGCTTGTGCTGCAGAACGTGGGGGCTGCCATGGCTGACGTGGTGATTGACGCCATGGTGGCAGAAGCGGCAAAAGGAGACAAGTGAGTGCTTTCTCTGGAAGATACGAATTCGAATTGGTACAAAAAAGCCCAAACCCTGCTCTAAACCCGAAACTCTAAGCCCTGGAAACGATACTCTCTGTGTGTGACGCTGCCGCCTCCCCCACGCCCTTCACGCTGCTGCTTGTGCTGCAGAACGTGGGGGCTGCCATGGCTGACGTGGTGATTGACGCCATGGTGGCAGAAGCGGCAAAAGGAGACAAGTGAGTGCTTTCTCTGGAAGATACGAATTCGAATTGGTACAAAAAAGCCCAAACCCTGCTCTAAACCCGAAACTCTAAGCCCTGGAAACGATACTCTCTGTGTGTGACGCTGCCGCCTCCCCCACGCCCTTCACGCTGCTGCTTGTGCTGCAGAACGTGGGGGCTGCCATGGCTGACGTGGTGATTGACGCCATGGTGGCAGAAGCGGCAAAAGGAGACAAGTGAGTGCTTTCTCTGGAAGATACGAATTCGAATTGGTACAAAAAAGCCCAAACCCTGCTCTAAACCCGAAACTCTAAGCCCTGGAAACGATACTCTCTGTGTGTGACGCTGCCGCCTCCCCCACGCCCTTCACGCTGCTGCTTGTGCTGCAGAACGTGGGGGCTGCCATGGCTGACGTGGTGATTGACGCCATGGTGGCAGAAGCGGCAAAAGGAGACAAGTGAGTGCTTTCTCTGGAAGATACGAATTCGAATTGGTACAAAAAAGCCCAAACCCTGCTCTAAACCCGAAACTCTAAGCCCTGGAAACGATACTCTCTGTGTGTGACGCTGCCGCCTCCCCCACGCCCTTCACGCTGCTGCTTGTGCTGCAGAACGTGGGGGCTGCCATGGCTGACGTGGTGATTGACGCCATGGTGGCAGAAGCGGCAAAAGGAGACAAGTGAGTGCTTTCTCTGGAAGATACGAATTCGAATTGGTACAAAAAAGCCCAAACCCTGCTCTAAACCCGAAACTCTAAGCCCTGGAAACGATACTCTCTGTGTGTGACGCTGCCGCCTCCCCCACGCCCTTCACGCTGCTGCTTGTGCTGCAGAACGTGGGGGCTGCCATGGCTGACGTGGTGATTGACGCCATGGTGGCAGAAGCGGCAAAAGGAGACAAGTGAGTGCTTTCTCTGGAAGATACGAATTCGAATTGGTACAAAAAAGCCCAAACCCTGCTCTAAACCCGAAACTCTAAGCCCTGGAAACGATACTCTCTGTGTGTGACGCTGCCGCCTCCCCCACGCCCTTCACGCTGCTGCTTGTGCTGCAGAACGTGGGGGCTGCCATGGCTGACGTGGTGATTGACGCCATGGTGGCAGAAGCGGCAAAAGGAGACAAGTGAGTGCTTTCTCTGGAAGATACGAATTCGAATTGGTACAAAAAAGCCCAAACCCTGCTCTAAACCCGAAACTCTAAGCCCTGGAAACGATACTCTCTGTGTGTGACGCTGCCGCCTCCCCCACGCCCTTCACGCTGCTGCTTGTGCTGCAGAACGTGGGGGCTGCCATGGCTGACGTGGTGATTGACGCCATGGTGGCAGAAGCGGCAAAAGGAGACAAGTGAGTGCTTTCTCTGGAAGATACGAATTCGAATTGGTACAAAAAAGCCCAAACCCTGCTCTAAACCCGAAACTCTAAGCCCTGGAAACGATACTCTCTGTGTGTGACGCTGCCGCCTCCCCCACGCCCTTCACGCTGCTGCTTGTGCTGCAGAACGTGGGGGCTGCCATGGCTGACGTGGTGATTGACGCCATGGTGGCAGAAGCGGCAAAAGGAGACAAGTGAGTGCTTTCTCTGGAAGATACGAATTCGAATTGGTACAAAAAAGCCCAAACCCTGCTCTAAACCCGAAACTCTAAGCCCTGGAAACGATACTCTCTGTGTGTGACGCTGCCGCCTCCCCCACGCCCTTCACGCTGCTGCTTGTGCTGCAGAACGTGGGGGCTGCCATGGCTGACGTGGTGATTGACGCCATGGTGGCAGAAGCGGCAAAAGGAGACAAGTGAGTGCTTTCTCTGGAAGATACGAATTCGAATTGGTACAAAAAAGCCCAAACCCTGCTCTAAACCCGAAACTCTAAGCCCTGGAAACGATACTCTCTGTGTGTGACGCTGCCGCCTCCCCCACGCCCTTCACGCTGCTGCTTGTGCTGCAGAACGTGGGGGCTGCCATGGCTGACGTGGTGATTGACGCCATGGTGGCAGAAGCGGCAAAAGGAGACAAGTGAGTGCTTTCTCTGGAAGATACGAATTCGAATTGGTACAAAAAAGCCCAAACCCTGCTCTAAACCCGAAACTCTAAGCCCTGGAAACGATACTCTCTGTGTGTGACGCTGCCGCCTCCCCCACGCCCTTCACGCTGCTGCTTGTGCTGCAGAACGTGGGGGCTGCCATGGCTGACGTGGTGATTGACGCCATGGTGGCAGAAGCGGCCAAGGGGGACAAGTGAGTGCAGTCATTTGTGAAATGCACACATGATTCATCTACTGGGGTGGAATCGGTACCACTAAACACTTAACCCATCTAAACCTGAAATCCTGAACCCTGGAAACGGATCCTCCTAGTCGTGCTGCCGCCACCTCCCCATTGTCTTTCACGCTGCTGCTCGTGCTGCAGAACGTGGGCGCAGCCATGGCTGACGTGGTCATTGACGCCATGGTGGCAGAAGCAGTAAAAGGTGAGTGCCAGTGAAGTGCTATCCAGTCTGTAGGGTTTTGGGCTCCCCCTCGCCCTGCTCTTTGCCTCTTGTGTGCCATGGCTGACGTGGTGATTGACGCCATGGTGGCAGAAGCGGCAAAAGGAGACATGTGAGTACTTCCAATGAAGTGATGACTGGTCTGCAGGGTTTAGGGTTCCCTCTCATCCTACTCTTCTCCTCTTTTGTGCCATGGCTGACGTGGTGACCGGCGTCATGGTGGCAGAAGCAGTGGAATGGGGAGCTCCTTTGCAGCTTGTTGATTCCTTGCTTATTCCCTCTTCCCCCCCGCCTCCTCCACTTGTGATATGATATACCTGTGTGCAGGGAGCGATATGCAGGCGACCTGCAGTCCCTCTCCTGGTTCTCCATGGCAGCGGGAGGCGTGGTGGGGAGCCTCCTAGGCGGCCCGGCTTTAAAGACGCTGCAGCCGCATGGCATGTTTGCGCTCTTCGCGTTCTTCCCCCTATCGCAGCTCGCCATGTGTCTTATGTCGTCTGAGAGGAAGCTTACAGGGGGGACGGGGAGCGAGGAGGAGGGCGAGGGGGACGAGGGGGACGAGGAGGAGGAAGAGGAGGAGGTGGAGGCAGAGGGACGGGAGGGAGAGAAGGGAGAGGGCGTGAGGAAGAGTGGAAAGGAGGCTGAAGCAAGTGAGGGAGATAAGAAAGAGAGGGGCGGCGTGAGTGGTGGTACAGCAGCAACACCATCCTGTCTTGATTCTGACAAGAGTTCTGATGAGACCTGTGATTCTTCGGCTGATTGCACAGTTACAGATGGCGGTGTTACAAATGACGCTAGCACTGGGAGTGGTAACCGCATGAATGGAGACAGCGAGAGTGAGGAGAGCGGCGAGTTGGGGAGTGGGAGCAGGTGGTATCAGAGCAGCAGGAGGAGGGGGAGGTGGAGGGCAAAGGGAAGGGCAATGGTAGTGATCTATTAGGACCCTCAGGGGGAGGTTCTGATGTCACGTCTCAAGAGGTTGTAGGGGCGAAGGAGAAGGATGGAGAGGAAGGGAGAGTTGGGGTCGAGGAGGGTGGAGGAAAGGAGGAGGGTGAGGGTGAGAAGAGTGTGGTAGGAGGGCAAAGCACTGGGCTGCGGCAACGGAGAGGCAGAGAGGGGGGCGGCGGGGGAGGAGGGAAGGGAGACGCAAATGAGACGGGAAGGATAGAAGGAGCGGAGGAGGCGAGGAGGAGGAAAAGTGAGGAGAGAAGCAGATGTAGAAGGAAGGGAGCAGGGGGGTTGGGGAGGAAGGTGCTCGATCTGGTGATGGCCCTGTGGCATGCTGTCATGTCTCCTGACATCTTCTGGTGAGTGCATTTTCTGGTGAGCGCGTTTACTGGTGGTGAATGCGTTTTCTGGTAGGCACATTCTAGTGAGGAGGACTCATTCTAGTGGTTTGACTCGTTATGAGAGCATGCTCGTCTTGCATGAATTCGTGTACTGTGAGGCGTTTGAGAAGTTCCTGTGAGAGTGTGCTCTTATTGCAGTAAAATGGTGAATCTTCTTTAATCCCAGCCCCCGAATTACAGAAGCCTTCACAAACTGGGCCCAGTTTGTGTCTCCCCCTACTGGGTTCACGCTGAAAGGGTTTAGGAAGTTTTCCGAACCTCCAATCGCCTGCCTTTCCGAGCCTGTTTTTCCCACGTTGACTCCGTTGAGCAATTCGGGTGTTGCCGTTTAACACAAACGCCCTAGGAAATTACTTCGTCCATTTACTCGCATTTTCGTCAACACATGCCAATCAAAGTGCATCAAGTTAACCCCCTTTTCGTATCACATTACCTCAAGCACATTACCTCAAGCACTCCCTTTTCAAGTCGTACCTCTCATTCTTCCTTTCTCTCCTCTCTCCCCATTCCGTATGCCTATGGCATGGTTCATGTCATTGAGTGCAGTAGTCCACACCCGCTCCTCCTCACTCTTCTACTTCCACACCAATCCCTTTCTCTTGTGCCCCACCTTATTCCTTCCTTTTCCTTTCCGCTGCCCCTTCCCCAGGCCCATGGCATGGTTCATGAAATCGTGTGCAGTTGTCCCCACGCTCTCCTCCTTGCTCTTCTACTTCCACACCAACCCCTCCCTCTTCTGCCCCACCTTATTCCTCCTCTTCCCTTTCCTCTCCCCGCCCCTCCTCATAGGCCTATGGTATTGTTCATGCCGTCATATGCAGTCGTCCCTACCCTCTCCTCCTCGCTCTTCTACTTCCACACCAACCATCTGCACTCGCACTCCTGCTTCACTTTCTCCCACTTCCCTTAACTGTCCTTCCATCCTCCCTCTTCCCTGACTGTCCTCCCCTTGTCGCCCTCCCCCCAGGCCCATGGCATGGTTCATGTTCATGGCGTCATGTGCAGTCGTCCCCACCCTCTCCTCCTCCCTCTTCCACCTCCACACCAACCCCTCCCTTTTATGTCCCACGTTACCTTTCCGCTCTCCCCTCCCATTTTCCCCAGGCCCATGGCATGGTTCATGGCGTCATGTGCAGTCGTTCCCACCCTCTCCTCCTCTCTCTTCTACTTCCACACTAACCATCTGCACCTCGACCCTTCTTTCCTGGGCTCCACCAAGGTAAGTTCTGAACAAAGACAGGGTCTTTTTCTAGTTGACTAAGAGATCCTTCCGTTGCTCCGCCAGGGAACAAATATGCACAATCACATGGGATATCAGACGACTCAAAGCACAAAATGTGCACCATGTTTTGATAATATGCCTACCTCTCCAATCTCACCCACTCGTCCATTCCCCCCCCTCCATCCCCCAACCCTCCGTCCGCCAACTCTCCCTTCCCCACACGCCTCCCCAAGGTCATTGGCTGGGCGGGCCTCATGCTTGGGACTCTGCTCTACAACACACGGCTCAAATACGTCCCGATTCGGCGAATCTTCATGTGAGTGCACTGCGAGCCGCACCAACGGCCCGCTCCTCCACGCTCTCTGAACTCTGAAGACCACAATTGTAACTTCTTCCGTTGTAGGTGGGCTCACATTCTGATGGTCCTGTGCATGATCGCCGAAACCCTTCTCACCTCTTGCTTCAACCTGAGGCTCTTCCTTTCTTATGCCAACCCCAACCCCCCCCAACCCCGGAACCCGGAACTTTAACCTCCCACCACAGGTGGGTGCACATTTCAATGGCTCTGTGCACAATCGCAGACACCCTCCTCATCTCTCGCCTCAATCCGAGACCCCTTCCTTTTCATGCAAATTCCCAAACCTCAAATCTCCACCCCTGATTCCCCACCATCACAGGTGGGTGCACATTTCAATGGCGCTGTGCACAATCGCCGACACGCTCCTCACCTCGCGCCTCAACCTGAGGCTCGGCATCCCAGACACAGTGTTCCTGCTGGGCTCCGCTGCCGTTTCCGATGCAGTCAACCAGTTCAAGTGAGTAGAGCTGGATTCCATTGATACAAGTTCGTCCTGATCATATAAAAAGCGGAGGGGCTGCAGTCCGTTCTTCCGCTGGAAGAGCGGAGGGGCTGCGGTTTCTCCCAGACCTTCACTATCCATCCGATTTCATGCCATTCCTGTCATCATTCCTCTTTCTCTCTGCCCCTTTCCTCCATCCCATCACCTCCCATCCAGGTTCATGCCGTTTCTCGTCCTATCCGCCCGGCTGTGCCCGCCGGGGATAGAAGGAACGCTCTTTGCCCACTTTATGTCTGCATACAACTTTGGCAACACGCTCAGCGGCTACATGGGCACCACTCTCGCCACGCGGCTCGGACTTGAGAGAGTTCTGAGAATCGGCTCAGTTTCAGCTTGTATGCCTTCGTCATCTCTGCATGCGTCCCCCCATCCCCTTCTTTCTCCTCTTCCTTCCCCCCCCAATCCAGGTTCATGCCATTCCTTGTCCTCTCCGCCCGTCTGTGCCCGCCGGGGATAGAAGGAACCCTCTTCGCCCTCTTCATGTCTGCCTACAACTTTGGCAACACACTCAGCGGCTACATGGGCGCCACTCTCGCCACACGGCTCGGAATCACCGCCACGTCATTCGACAACCTGACACTTGGCGTCACGATACAGGCCGCGTGCACGCTGCTTCCGATCCTGTTCCTCCAATGTGTGCCGGCTAATATGACAGGTGAGCGAGCCTTGAATCCAGCCCTGGAGTCCGGTTAAATAATTTTGTAAACAACGCACTGCCATGAAGTGAATGTGTTTGTGAGTCTTCACGAAAGAAGCACGCAACAGGATGTAGCACGAGTTTGAACCCCTTTCATTTAGTACTTCTGGATGCTGAGAGTCTTGCTGGCTTTCCCTATGTGTCGCCTCCTGAACCCGCCAGGCGTAGGGGATGAAGGGAAGCAAGCAGTACGTGTGGTGGAGGACCAGCAAGACAAGGATGAGGATATCAAGAAGCCTATGGTGGGCTCAAAATGGCGGCCAAAACAAGCATGAGAGAGTGGTACATTTATGGATATATTTAATGCGAATGTTCATTTGATGTCATACATCCAGTGATATTGTATAATTTCTGCTCTTCTATGGGGTGGTTCCCACGGATTTCCTATTGGTGCACAGTTTTCATCTCTATTCATGACACAACTCCATGTAAGAAAGGTGGAATGGAAAGATAGTTGGTACGTACTGTTGCAGCTAGGAAATTCCGACTTCGGCATAACGAGGACGAGAGGTAGCGAAGGCTTGGAACGGACGTCTGGAACTCGGCTCGGAACGGATGGTTCAGACAGTCGAGCCTCGACTGACATGAGGTCCTGAGCTGGACTGGGGCAGGTCAGTGGGCTTGGTGTTTTTCCTGAGGGCGACGTCAGGTTGTACAACTTTTTGTACGCAAACTCCGGTAAACTTCGTTTCAACACGGTGCAGAGAGATAGATTTCGAGAGCCGCTTTTCACCGTGTCGGACCGTCCTGAATCACGATACAAGAACTGTAAACGCGTGAGATATGTACTGTATAACCTGACGTCGCCCTTACAGCTCTGGAAGATACGCCACCATGTGCCACCACCACCATGTCTGCCCAGCCATCATTTCGAGTTCTGCCTCACCATAATTACAGAATGTTCGAAGCACAAGGGCTTCGGGATCACTTCCTGGGATCCCTACCCACCTAAGCATCCGAGGAGCCACCACAATGCCAACGTTCCCTCTGCTGTGGAAAGGGAAGCAAGCATTGAACAGGTGAATATCCACCTTTCCAACCACGAATGATCAGGGTAACTACTCCGAATACAGCGGTGGACTTCAAGTTGAAAGCTGGCTGCTGCTTGCAAGAATCTCCACTGTTTCAGAGCAAATCTGCTTTGTGTGGTGTCGAACTCTTCTTCCGAACGTGCGGGATGTTCACAGATGCTCATGCTTCCTACCTCTCCCTCCCTGCCCCACATTCATTTGGCTGGCAAATCGCGTCCTATCTGAAGTCTCGTTCAATAAAGTGGCGGGTTTGGTTCTTGTGCGTCTTTGGTTTTGACTTGTTGGACTATCTTTTTCGTCTGCAAAAATGAGAAGCGGAGAAGTGACTATAAAGAGGGCTGAAAAGCTTGGACACCATCGTCAAAGCTCCACACGGAGTGTAAGTGCAATGTTCCACGTCTGGCACAGAGTTTTCGATTGTCTCTCCCTGTCTTGTATGTTCCTCCGGGTCTTTCATTCCCACCACCGTTTAGTATCCGCCCTGGTCTAAAAGTCACAAAGTTCGGGTTTAAAACCACTCGAATCCATTTCGAACTGGGACTTCGAGCACGCCCGCGTAGATTTCTTTCAGCAGCATCGCACCTTGCAACCAGTTTGCGGGCATCAGGCACATCCTTAGAGCAGCTGAAAGGGGCTTGGAGCACGTCAGGAGGGGACGGAAGTTCGGTCCTTCAATTTTCTTCTAATTTCTGTCTTAGTTCAAAGCTCCCACTCCAACATTTGCTTCGCGGTAAATAGGTAATTTGATTTTAGTTTTCCCTTGTAGCAATGCCCTTCAGAAAAAAACAAATATCCCCTCCAGCCACTAGTGGCGGGCTCGCCGCTGGCGAAGCCAGCGAAGCTGCTTCACGGGGCGTCGAAAAAGATGGTGAAAGCGCGGCGCCGCGCGAGAGTTTCGACCTCGTCGCATCTGCTGACGCGTGGCAAGTTATGGGACCCACTACCAACGCCACCGCCACCGGCGGCGTCGGTACCGGAAACCCCGAGAGCGTCAGTGGCGGCGGCGCAGGAAGTACTACCGGCGCGACTGACAGTGGTGAATGGTGGGCGGGAAGCGGAGAAGGCGCCGCCGTGATTCACGGCGGAGCGGTCGGGTTCGGTAGCCCTGGAGCGGCTACGGGCCCCACTTGGAACGTCGACCACGGAAGCGGACGTGGCCCCGCCGCGATTGCCGGCGGAGATGGCGCCGCAGTGTGCGGCGAGGAGAGAGGAGAGCAGGGCCGAGCGCTGACGCACAACTTATCTGGTTTAAACGCGGAGAGACCGAAACAAACGCTGGAAATTATGCTGGAGGATGGGCTGCAAATGACGGTGGAGGTTGACTCGGGCGAACGGCTTCTTAACGAGTTGGGATACAAACAGGAATTGCGACGGCGGCTGGTGAGTGAGTGGTGCAGTTTCGAGGGCGGGATTAGGATGGAGCTTAGAGATTTGCTTTTGAGTCGACTCAAAAGCAGTTTCGACGGCGGCGGGATTCGGATGGAGCTTAGAGATTTGCTTTTGAGTCGACTCAAAAGCAGTTTCGAGGGCGGGATTCGGATGGAGCTTAGAGATTTGCTTTGAGTCGACTCAAAAGCAGTTTCGAGGGCGGGATTCGGATGGAGCTTAGAGATTTGCTTTTGAGTCGACTCAAAAGCAGTTTCGAGGGCGGGATTCGGATGGAGCTTAGAGATTTGGCGTGAATTGCGTTGCTGGGAAGCCTGAAAAAGGGCTGCTGTAGTACACACGTAGAGTTTCGGTCTCGAAAATTAATACGACACCATTCTGAACCCATGGGTTGAGAATCTCAACTTGAGACAGCAACAGTTCCAGCACCTCGTGAGTTTGAAGCGGTTCGCCGTCGTTATTCCAATCGTGTTCCTCCGCCGAGAGAAGCTACGGTAATTGACAAAAGCATCGTTCACAAATTAGGACGGTCTGTCGCATTCCCGTTCCATGAGCGTCCCGCATTTCCATCCCTGCGTTGCCCCATGCATCCCCACTGAATTCCCTGCTTCAACCTTCCTGCATGCCTCGTTTCGGTAACGAGGCAATTATTTTCAACCGCCGACCGCCGCGCTACTCGCCTTTCCTTTCAAAGAGTTCTCGCCTCGTCTCTACAACTTCCTCCCTCCACTCCCCGAACTACCCCCTTCTGCCATTTCGGCCACGCCCGTAGCCCCACTTCCTCCCCCTCCTCTCTTCCCCACCCCGCTTCCCCACCCCCTGGCCTGGACGTTTTTCGTTTTTGTGTTCTTTTGGGGGTGAGAACCTATCTTCCTCTCTTTCCCCCCCCCCCCCTCCCCCCCCCCCACCCCCCCCCCCCTCACTACAAAAACGGCCGTGGCGCGCTAGGGTCAATCGTATCGTCGAGCCTATTTTTGTCCTTTGTTTATCCACTCACGATGAAAAGAAATTTTCCGCGAGCAATTTGTTTCCCTTGGAGCAAGGGTACAAAACGAACCGAGTATTATTAGGTTATGCAATCATATGAATGAATAATCTTGAGTAGAGTATTTCGTGGGAGGAGTCGCCGTTTCTTTTTACCGTTTCTTTTTAATGACTAACATGGAGGCAAATTTATGAATCATAACAACACTTGCCAAAATTGCTCATGTCTATTCCCACACCCCCCGCTCCCCTTCCCCTCCCCCCCCACCACTCCTCTTCCCCACCCCAAACAATCCTTCCACCCCTCTAATCCCTGCCCCTCCATATTCCCCCGTGCAACCACCTGGTTCGATCTCATCCCACCCCCCCTTCCCCTGCACAGAGTTTCTTTGAAGTCTTCTCTCGGCCTCTCTATAGTCACTTTCTATGCAGGAACAGTGCCGTTCTACTCGTGAGTGCCCCTCCCCTCCCTATCCATCGGCCCCTCTATAGTCACGTTGTACACAGGAAGGAACAGTGCCGTTCTACTTGTGAGTTCCTTTCTAACAATAACATACCAGAAGGAGTTTTGAGTCGACTCAAAACTCTACTTGTGAGTTCCTTACCAACAATAGCATACCAGAAGGCTTTCCTTCCTCTCTCCCCTCCCCCGTCCCCTCCTCCTTCCCCTCTGCTCGTTTCAAGTCTGACCTTCTTGAACGGCGGCCCCGTGGCGCTGGTGTGGTACTGGTGGATAACCGCGTTCTTCACTCCCTCGTCGCGCTCTCCTTTGCTGAAATCTCCTCCGCCTTCCCGGTACGTCCTGGTCTCTATCAATGTCATGTCAGCCTTTCAACGGAACGCCCTACTCTATAAGCCTCCACCCACCCTTGTGTGCCGTGAAGGCAGAGGAGCGTATGTTTTTTGAGAATTCTCAAAAAAATACGCTTCAACAAGGTGAGTGAAGCCCCTTCTATATAAGCCTCCACCCACCCTTGTGTGCTTTCCTGCTTTCCCTGCCCAGATAACGACCCTTTTCACCCACCTCGTTCACTCACCTCCTTCACTCACCTCCTCCACTCACCTCCTTCACTGCTCTCTGCTTTGCTGAAATCTCCTCCGGCTTCCCGGAATCCCCCTACCTGTGTGTCTAGACATGAGCACAAGGGCGGGCGCCCCTTAATGTGTGTCTCAACGTTCCCTTCCATCCCTGCGCCCCTCCCTCTGTGCGCTCTCGCTGGTCTCCCGCCCCACCTCCACGCCCCACCCCCCCCCGCAAATCAGATCTCGGGGTCGCTCTACTTCTGGGCGGCAGCTCTCGCCGGCCCAAAGCACGGCCCCTTTGCCGCCTGGATCACCGTGAGTTCTCTTTTTCCCTCAGCACCCACCCTTTCATCCCTCCCATCCCTTCTCTTCCTGGATCACCGTGAGTGAGTGCTCTCTCCTCCCCTTAAGGTCTTTTCTCCGTGTGCATCGGCTCTCCCTCCTTCGGAGGCGCACGCAACAACAACACGACCAGGCTTTAACGCGAAGCATGCCCCTTGTCCCCCCCTCTCTTCCCGCTTGTCCTCCTGCTCGCAGGGCTGGTTGGAGTTCCTTGGGATCTCCGTGTGCATCGATGCTCTCTCCATTGGAACCGCAGGCTTTAACGAGAAGCGTGTTCGTTGTCCTTCCCTCTCCCCTCCTCGTTTCCCCCCTTGTCCTCCTCCTCGCAGGGCTGGTTGGAGTTCCTTGGGATTAGTTTTGAGTCGACTCAAAACTTTCCCCCCTTGTCCTCCTCCTCGCAGGGCTGGTTGGAGTTCCTTGGGATCTCCGTTTGCATCGGCTCTCTTTCCTTTGGAGGAGTGCAGCTGCTCCAGTACACCATCTATGCTGCTACAGGTACACTTTATGTG